AAAAAAAAAAAAGGGAGTAAATAAGAGGACCAACCAGCATTCAAAGCCCTGGTTAAAGCAGAATCCCGCCGCCAACCCCGTCCCCATCGTCATCATCGACCGTCAGTCCATCAGTCCATCAATCAATCCGTCCGTCCGCCTGCTTGTCCGTAAAAACGCCTGCAGCTCCAGCGCTACGCTACGTTACGCTACCTCTCTTAAACAAAAGGGGCTCCGAAGTCGAGTTTGTGCCGACCCGTTCAGTCTGCCTGCCTGCCGGCTGGTGCATGCATGTAGGTATGTATGTATGTGTGATACGATACATGCATGTGGGAGTAACATGTTTTTTTTGTTGGGACAGCGCAAAGGAGCTATCCGTCGTTGCCGTCTTGCGCAGGCGCCTATACCTCGCGGCGTAAGTAGGTACTTAAGCGGGCGCAGCAGCAGCAGTAGTAGCAGCAGCCACAGCGGCAACAACACTACCACAATCAAGCAGCTAGTGCTTGCCTCAAGCAGCAGCGCCCTCGTCCTTGCCGCCCAAGCTCTCCTTGGTGAGGTAATCAGCCTGCTCCGCGTCCTCGTACTCGGCAATAAGGTCCTGGACCACGGCCTTGGCCTCGTCGAACTCGCCCAGCCCGTCGGCAAAGGGCGCCTCGCGCTTGTACTGCTCGAGGAAGGCGTTGCGCTTGCGCAGGCGGTCGTACTGGAACAAGATGCGCTTGAAGAGGGTCGAGATGCCCGTGTGGTTCGCGAGCATCAGGCCCGACACGCGGTGCGATTGCTGGATATAGGGCGATTTGCGGGTCAGGGCGACTTGGATCGAGGCCGGGCCCCAGGGGATGAAGGTCGCGAGGCGGCGCTCGCGGATACGGAGGAGCGATTTGTGGACCTGGGGGTGGGGTTTTTGTTAGTTTGGTAAAGTGGGAGTGGGGAAGGGGAGGGGTGCGCACGTCGGTGGGGTCGGCTTCGCCCTGGATGATGTTGAGGATGGAGATGTAGCAGCTGCTCTTGCTGGGGTTGGTCGAAACCATGCGGTTCTTGGGCTGCAGCAGGCGACGCATGACTTCCAGGACCGTCGTCTTGCGCACCGTCTTGGCCGATTCGACTTGGTCGCCGGTGAAGGGAGTGTACGAGGTCATCAGGAAGTGGCAGCGCGGAGTGGGGATCAGAGAAGCGACGATTCCGACGAGGTCGTTGTGCATGTAGCCGGGGTAGCGCAGGGTGGTGGTGCTGGCGGACATGACGGTCGAGACAAGCTGGTTGGTCTGCTGGAAGGACGGCTCTTGGACGTGAAGCGTGTTTGCGGCGATTCTCGAGAGAGCGCCATTGTCAAGGACAACCTAGAGTTCCATCTTAGCACTTGATCTATGCTGCATCTGGTGTATAAAGCTTACCACCGAGTCCGCGTTCTGCGTCAACCTCCGCATGGACAACAAGCTGTTGTACGGCTGCACAACGACATCACCGGCGTTCTGGGTATCGGGGAAGACAGAGTACGTCTGGATCAGCTTCTTCGGGAACCTGTCGTTCAGGCGCTCGAGGAGGAAACTTCCGAGACCCGAGCCAGTACCACCGGCGATAGAGTGAAGCAGCATGAAGCCTTCCAGCGAATCACTTCCGTCGGCCTCTCTGTCAATCATATCCATGACCTCTTCGTGCACCGACTCGCCCATGGCGTAACCAGCAGCCCAGTTGTTTCCCGCGCCGGTGCCATCCTTGTGGACGTAGAAGTTTTCGGGGTTGTAGATGTTTCTGTATGCGCCCGTTTGAATGCCGTTGATGACGCGGGGCTCGAGATCGAGAAGGATGGCGCGGGGAATATAGCGTGTATCATCCGACTGTCTCTACGTTAGGCCTATATCTGGTCTCTGGTTGTTCACGGCGTGGGATAAGTACCTGGTAGAAGAAGACGTCCTTCCTGTCACCGCCCTCAGTCGCGAAATCCTCGAGATTGCCGTCCTGGTTGATGCCATGCTCCTGGCACAGCTGCTGCCAGAACTGGCTTCCGACTATACAAGTGCCGTTAGCATCTGGTGTCTCATTGGGCTAGGATAGCTTGTAGATCTCCGGGCCGCAAATGCGCAGAGCGGCGATTGACGGTGGAGCTCCAGACGGTCGGAGAGACAGGTGACGTACCGCTGTTGCCGCACTGGCCGGCCTGGATGGTTATGATTTCTCTGTAGCAGAGTCAGCGCAATTGCTGCTAGGACAGCGGGCGAGCATACCTAGGCATGTTGGGCGGTGCGGTGTTGGTTGTTCGGAGGTGCCGCCGGAGGACGCGTCTGAAAAGCTCCCCGCGTCGAAGGCTTGCTTTGTTGCCCAACACAACTCCTACCCGACGACCACAAACGTCACCACCACACACCACACCCATCAGCTGGGCTGCGATAGCCAGTTTCCTTTCATTGATATTCTAGCCCACCTTCTCTTCTCTCTCAATTGCTTGTTGTTACGAGAACCAAATGGCGTCTTCCGGCTGGCAACACGTCGCACCACTACGACCATTTACTTAGCTTGGAGGTTCTTCTAGCGCGCCATTGTCCAGATCTCCGACTTCAGTAATTGGCCGGAAGATGCAAAGTGCCCGCCGATGATGTGGAGGGACCCTCCTGGCGAGAAGCTAGTTGGATTTGTTCGATCTGTGTAGGCCTGCTGCGAAAACAAGCCCAGTTATATTTTTTCTATAAATTTGTTGCCTTCTATGCATTCATTATCCCCTTTCATCTTATTGATGCCATTGTCATATTAATCTTCAGCTTTTCCTCATCGTGTCACTTCCACTTCAATTCCAACCATGTCAAACCTCGGCATCTACGATTATTCACGTTCCCGAACCACCACCATGGACACCAAACTCGAAGTAACGATAAATTTCTAGGAATGGCACGAGGAACTCAAGCTCTACCTTTAGGTCGAGTTCCTGTGGGAAAGAGTAGCGAGCCCGTCCCCCGCGCGCAAAACTACAATGATACCGAGGCGCGCCTCGTACTCGTCTCCAATGTCGACGTCGAGCTTTTACCCTCGCATTAAAAGTAAAAAAGGGCCAAGGGGATTTACTAGTACCCCCATGAGCGCTACGGAGAAGACGAGCCCACCCAACAATCGATCAACGCCTCTTGCCCAGTCTGGCTCTGGTTCGACAGCGCGAGTGAGAGCCTCGACAACTTCAAGACGACTGTTTTGACTCTGGCATGCTGTGCTACCATAAAGGGTTACTACAATGAACATTCTGCAGGATAGTTTTGTGCTAATGATGGTCAACTGTTCGTAAAGTAGGTGATTGATACCCGGCGCGGAACAGAGGGGGGGGTCCTATATAGTTGTGTAGTAGTACGCCTCCCACTACGTCTCGGCGCACGCCGCTTCCTCCTGCTGCATACGCAGCTCCTCTTCCTCCTCGAGCTCTGCCTCTCAGAGGGCAGCCAGCTCGTCCTCATCCGCCTCCCTATCCGCCACCGTATCCGCCGCCGTATCAGCCGCCTCAGCCGCGGTCGCCGCGCCCTCGTCAGCAGCAGCATCCTCCGTCTTCTACCACTTTCTTAGCGCTACAAGAGGCGCCATAGCGTTCATACGACAAGGAGACGATGTACTTATAGAGTCAGGCAATTAGTATAAACACAGCGCACGTATTTGCCGGAGCTACTCTATAACAGCTGAAACACAGCTATAAGAATAGCGCTTAAGATATTTTACGAATAAGGGCGAGTTCATAGTAGCATATAAATCATACATATAATGGCCCCGGATGATTTGCCCACCCCTCAACTACATGCTGAGTAAAATCTATAATACCTACAGAGTACTTCTTAGGTAGTTATATAGACCATTACGCTACGGCCAGCAGGCGCTATATAATTATATAAAAGTAATAATATACGAGTACTAAAGTATACTACGAGGGTATAGAGGTATAGATATATACGACTATTAGAGTATCTACGAGAGTATAAAAAATAAAATATTCGAAGGGTATGAAGGTACTTACAAAGGTATAGAGACCTAAAGATTTTAAAGAGTAGAAAACACATCATATGATTTTATAGATACTTCACGTGAGGTGGGCAACTTATCCGGTACCTATACAATCGAACTTTCGACTGGCTAGCATTTTAAATACCACATTTCCGCACTTTACTCCTGACAAAGGGGGTTAGCTAAATATATAGTAGTTTCGATTGCCCATGGTCGGGGTTCGCTACATACGCGAAATCAGGAAAAGAAGATGGTAATGATCGCGACGACGGCAGGGAAAGATGGAAGTTAAAGCCTTCTACAGTGAAGGTAGGGTTTACAGTAAATGTATGCTTCATACATTCGGCTTCTACACGACACCAATAGCATATCACAAGCCGGTTTGCCACTCACGACACAATAAGTCCTCAAACTAAACAATCGTCATTCATTTGCCTTTCAGCTAATTCGTCTTACAAAGACCTACAGAGCGCATGTACAGACCCATTTTTGCAATCCCCCAACCCACGGGTTAAAAAAGCTAGATATACAAGACATAAATAACTGAAAAACGCGGATCCGCGAAAGAGAAAAAGAGCCTGACGCCGCGTGCTTGACGAAAAGAGAAAGTGGCCGGCTGGGAACCAACTAGTGGAATGACTGAAAAACGTACGAACAAGAAAAAAGACACAATGAATGCTCCGCTGTTTCGCCAATGACCATATGACAGACCCTTGCCCAAAAGAAAAAGGATAAGCGCCTGCCTCGATGGCAAGAGACCACCGCACCAGAAGAACAAAAGCTGGAAATCCAACGCGTCGCCCACAGTGAAGAGAAAAGAAGAACCTGGTACTGTACGAGAGAAGCGAAAAAACATGCTCGACATCAGTTGCGCTCGGCGGCACTCGCATCTTGCTCAGAGCCGCCCCGACTCCTCTGGCTTTAGCATCGGGTTGCCGATCTGATGCCAGCTTTCGGCCTTCTTTGGAACAGCCCCGCCACTGCTAGAGTTCTTCCCCCAGGAAAGGTGGTTGTTCGCGTGGTGCAAGGCAGTCGTCGGCTTCTTCCGGCTAGCATCAGATTGCCTGGCGTTTTGGTACCCGAAATCTTTGTGGTGTTGCTTCCACGAGCTGTCGAAACCGCCCCAGGGCTCATCCACAAAGAGCGTCGGCTTCTTGTTCTTCGTTTGCGTCTCCTTTGTAGCCCAGTTGTTCCAGAACCTTCTTTCGTGGCCGTTTTCATTGCTGTTGCCGTTAGAAGAGTGGAACTTGCGAGAAGGGGCGACACTCCGAACAATTTCCTTCAGTTCTTCGTCATCAGCCGTGATTTGTGCGCGCAGCACTGCTATCCTCATCTTTTCGCCGAGGTCACCTTGCAGCCCCGCCGTCACGGGTGTGCGCGATGTGTAGTCGTACTTCTGCGGCTCAGGCGCGTCGACCGGCTTCACGGCTGGGTCGAGGCGCGCCAGATCGCCCTTTTCAAGCAGCTGCATGATATCAAGACTTTCACCCGGCGGTATCTTTTCAGGGTGCGATGGTGTGATACAATCCATGTTTACCTCCTTGCGCAAAACATGGTCGATATCGACGGCGCTGAAATAGGCACAGGACTGCGGAAGGTCTTCGATGCCGACCTGTTGACTGAACATGGCACGCGTCCAAACGTTGGCGACTTGCAAGGCCATCGAAGCCCTGTACTTGTCCTCGTTCTTAACCAGATAGCGGATCTCATCGTGTACCGTCAGTGCGAGGCGGGCCTCGATGTTGTAGCGGCGAACCAGGTAGTCCATAGACACGATGAGAAGATGAAGGTAGTCAACACCCGATGACTGGATAGCCCAGTTGATACGTGAGGTGATGTAAGTGTTTTTGCCGAGAAAGCGCTTCCTCAGAGCTTCAGTAATACCAGCACCTAGCACGGGTGTCCGCGGTCGTTCTTGCTCTGCGAAGTCTTCGAGCTTATTGAAAACAAAGGATTCCGTGCCTCCACGCCAGAAAGACCTTTCCTGAATGGCTTTGTCTTTGGTTTTCTTGCCCTTGGTTTCTTCATACAGCTTGGTGGCTGTCTCGGTCGTCTGCTCTTCGGTCAAAGTGGGATTGAATTGTCTGAGTAGCGTCGAAGCAAACTTCAGGCCAGCACCGTAGATTCGTCCGTAGTTGAACACCTTGGCATCGTTTCTTGAGATTCCCAGGATACTGGCCGTTCTCGAGTGCAAGTCCGTTCCGGCAGCTTTGTCACCTTCAAGGGTCATGAAGCCTATAGCATTACCACCGTGAAGCTTGAACTGAGCATCACCAAGGAGACTGGCGATCCAGAGCTCTTCAGAATCCACATCGGCTCCGACGAATGACCATCCTGGTGGCGCCTTCACCATCGATTTGAGCTCAGAACCAACTCTGTTCTTTTTAGCGTTACTGGCAGTTAACCAAGTATTCTCAACCGCTCGTCTGGTGATGGTGCCCATTGGGATCACCTTGGGAAGAATATATCCAACTTTCTTAGACGCGCCATTCGTCGCTTTAAGCTCCAAATTGGCTTCGCCCTCAAAGACAGTCATTTGAGACATAATCCTTTCTCTTGCGCTAATCCAATACGAGCACGACGCGTTCATGGCCAGCGCTTCTTTCGCATAATCGAACGAAGAAGTGAGTCTGCCGTTGTCGAAGAACTGCAAATAGCTCTTCGCCATGGGATTCACACACCGAGCCGTAGGACCGTCTTTGTGAGGTATCTTGAGGTAGATGTGATGGTGATCGTCACGAAGTTTGAAGTTCTCTTCGGACATATCGCAGATAGCTGCCTTCATTTCGTCGGTCAAGTCCAGATCTGGCCTCTTCGCAATCTTGTACGTCCAACCGTACTTGTCCGACCAAACAAGCGGGTAGCCGTCCCAGGACAGTCGTAGTAGAATCGGGGCGACGCGGGTCCTCGTACTAAGATTGATTGGACCGGTTGTTTTTGGATACAAATCCTTGTACCAGTTCGGCATTCCAGGCATCTTTTGTCGGGCTACGGGCCTAGGTTCCTCATTCTTCTTGGCTTTGGTGTATTTGATCTCCTGCCCCGACCAATCAAGTTGACTCAACCAGGGGTCATTTTCGTATTCCTCCGGCGAATCTTTGTGAGACAAGGCCTTTTCTGCCAGTTTAACCAATCGTTGCAAAACACCTTCTGACATTGCTTTATAGGTTCCTTCAGCATTCGACAGATAGTCCTTCCACGATTCATCGATGGGGAGAATTTCGGAGGCAATGAACCGCAATGCCGCAAAGCTTACGGGGTGGGGGCATGTATCGAGGTAAAGAGGAAAGACCGTTTGGTACACCTGATGCGTAATCTCGACGTCCACAGCGCAATAATCCAGTAGTTCATGGATCTTGTCTCTTATTCCAGCGCGATCCAACTCACCGAAATAGTCTCTTGCCGATTTGTCAAGCTTTATGTCGCAGTGAAACTGGGCGACATCCCGCAGCGAGTTGACAGAGCTTCTGTCGACCCATAATTCCTCCTCTTCGATAGTGAGTTTTCCCGACTGTACCAAGGCGTCTACATCCACTTTTCCATCCCCGGCTTCTATGAGATCCCTGAGCTCCCTCTGTTTCCGGTGTCTCATCCACGTTGGCCGTTGCCGCGAACACATGCCGTTGGCCGCCACATGTAGGGACATGGTATCCATGAAAAATGTCTTTGACTGGCGTATGTCATATTCTTCCGCTATCCTTGCTCTGTCATAGCCAATGTTGTGCCCAACAACTACCATCGGCTTGTCCGGGTCCCCCAATGGTACGAGGTGGCGATCTGATTCCGACTCTTCCAGCAACCACGGCGATATCCAGACGTACCAGGCCGTGGGGCTAGCGGCACAAGCCATACAGGCAAACTGTGTTTCCTTGTACATGACCTCCGTGTCGAACGTCAACATGGATTCGTTCGGCGCATCTACCGGCTCCGGCTCCTCTCCCTTGGCATATTTTGTCCATCCACTTCTCACGACGTAGTTTTTCGGCCTTGGTGGTAGCTTGGCTTTGGCGTACTCCTTTGCGAAATCCAAATAAGGGTGTGCCGTGTCCATTCCAAGCTTGTAAAAATGTTCGTCCAAAGTGGTTCCCTGCAGCTCTGGCATATCGAAACTGATTGGAGGGCTTTGGTCCTGGTTTTTGCCGAACAGATCATGGCGCATGAGGTGGTCTTTGGACAACTCGACAAGTTCGGGGTCCACGTCCGGTGGCTCTCCGCGAAAGACCTGAGGGTGCATGTGCCGGCTGAGTTGTTGGACCCTGATGTCGTTGAAGCGAGCCTCAGACGGAACTTGGATTCAATTAGCCAGAGGAGCCTTTGGCCGAAGTCGGGAAGACTCACTGAGAAGACTGCGCGAGCCCTCCTTCTCCGCGGAGGCGGCTTGAGAGTAATATCTCCAGGTGGCGCATGGCAACGGCGGCGCTGCGCGAAGGCAGAGGCGATGAGGGCGAAGGAGGGCAGGCCTGACGGTGGTGACGCCCCGGTATCCTACACGCATGGTCGGGCGAGGGGCATGTCGGGTGTAGATAGGTAGGGTGCAGGTAGCAGGAAGGTGGGGAGCGAGGACATAAACTTCTCGATGTGCGCGTCATGCGATTCGCGGTGCGCTGCAAATCATCGGGGGCGCGGGCTGGCCTTGCACGGCATTCGAGAAGACGCAAGGCACGCCCACGCCCACGCCCGTCCATCCACGGTTTGTCCGCCATGTCTGCCAGTTGGAGCCGCGTTTCTGTTTCCGACGACGACCACTCCCACGGTTCGCGGACACGCGATCCCTTCTTGGCCAACATCCTCAACGTTCATGACGACGACGAGCCCACGCCGCCACGCATGTCTCCCCCGCGCACCGCCAACGGTTATGTCGACCTCACCCGCGAGTCCACGCCGCCGCTGAGCCAGGAACGCTCTACCCTCCGTCGCTCCTCTCACCACATGACTCCTCCTTCAGCCAACAAGCGCCGCCGAAGCTCCCACAACAGCCCCGGTCACTCCTCGAAACGCGCCAAGCGGAACAGTGACGGCACCGCCAGCCGTCGCGGCAGCAAGCAGCAGAATGTGGAAAGCATCGACCTAGTTGATGAGGACAATCCTCTGGCAGACACGCTTCAGAAACAACGTGCGGAGCAGGTACAGGCACAAGGAGCTCCTCCAACCGACGCGCCAGTGCGCTTGTCCAACCTCACTTGCGTCATTTGCATGGACACGCCCAAAGATCTTACAGCCACAGCTTGTGGTATGCTTTCTGCTCACATGTTACTTGGCTAGCTGGCTGGCTTGCCGCGGTACAGAAGGCGGATTGACTGACGTGCGATCTGCAGGTCACCTCTTCTGCCATACTTGCCTCATGGAAGCTCTTATCGCCGGTGAGAACCGCGTCAACAGCCATGGCGAGCAGCGCCGCTCCCAATGCCCCGTGTGCCGCAAGACGCTGTCGCGGACCAAGAACGGCGACGTGATCCCGCTAGCATTGAAGCTGAAGAATGGACTGGCGACGCAGCCGCGGCGGAAGAGGACCAGTGTGGTCGAGGTATGAAAGCGGCGTCGGATCTTTAAGTCTTCAGTCAAGTTTCGACAGACTACTATAATTACAGGAGGATGACCAACAACACAAGACACGATTCGGCGAAAAGGCGTTTATCTTAATGCGGGATAAGGTAGGATTGGGATTTTTCAGGTAGGCGTGGCTTGCGGGGAACGGACATGAGCAGCCGTACAGCAGCGTCACGGCGTTAACGGGCCAGGAGCCCATACATATACCCAGTCTTTTTTCAGCATGTACACACATCACAGTCTATAGGCCTGCTCTTAGCTCCATGCAAAGTTTTCTTATGCTGTTGTAATTCGGTTACTTTGCTTGAGCTTTGCCTTTGATCACACTTTAGTTACCCATTGCTTGACGTTTACTCCGCACAACCGTTCTCTCACCACACTTATAGTTCAATTCCCCTTGGAGTGTTTTTGTAATGTTTCTTTTTGTACAAAACAGCTAGGTTTTGCGTGGCCAGGTATAGCGATGAATACCTTGCTAACGGTTTTATAGTTGCTCGTCGGCTTGAATTGTTACCGGACTTGAATGTATAGGTTTGTCTCATGAACTAGCTATACGAACGACCGGAAGAACCATGCGAACCGGAAGGCCACAATATGTAAGCTCTGCCAATCTCTGAATTCCACCACTTCAATTCACATAGTCATCAATATGGCATCTCATATTTCTCTTTTCTTTTGCATCAGCCACCTTTTCATGCTGAAACCAAACACTGTCTAGAATAATCATGGTCAAGCTTTTATCTTCATTCATAATAGATCGAACGTAACACGTTCATTATCCATTCCCATTATGCACATTTTGTCAGCTAGCATGAGTCTAGATTGTATTCACTACTTTCGTCTGACTTTCCACTTCCACACCCGTCAATTGTCCAAACCATTGTCAAAGTGTCAAAGGACCTTGATAAGACATCAGAGCTCACTCCTTATCCTTTGGCCGCGAACAACACGCAAATAGCGCCAAATGCCATACCACGTAAGCAGAAGCGGAAGATGACATACGCGGGAGTTCATCTTTAGGCCAAAAGGCCTAAAAGATCAGCGAAGAGATTGGAATGACGCACGCATGAAGCTAGAGCACTAGTCACGGAAACCAGAGCATCTTAAGACACACCAGGGTCTTACCCTGCTCCTTCAGAATATTCTGGTACCCTGCCCAGACTTCAATGCCCTTCTCTACCATATCGGCAATGTTCCTTCCGGAATAGGAAAGTCTTGAGCATAGCCGCAAGTTTCAAACGGGATAGGACGTCTTTCGCAGTCATCAGCCCCACACTATCTTCTCAAACTTCCCACAAGCATCGGTTTAATAACGGTGAGACATGCATGCATCATGCTTGTTGAAGGCCCAGAGAAAACAGACCGGCGATGTTCCGATCTTGAATAGGAGATGCATCTGCCAACGCCTCGACAAGGGCTTGGCTACGATTACTGATACAGTGGGCAGTGGAGCCCACTTGTACTCAGCAAGTGGATCCCATAAAGTCAAGGGATTTGCCACCCGCAGTGTCTGGATTGGGACGACCAACCAACCCTGCAAAAGATGATACAGCGCGAAGGCGTGATCATCCCCGCCATCACCTTCCTGATGCAGGCAGTGCAGACCAAGGACGCATGATTCAATGACAGGAGACGACTGAACTCTGCAGGGGCCACAGGCCAAGGACTAGTGAGCTCGTTCCGTCGAGAAAATAAGGTTGTCGGGCTCGTGTATGCGCGAGGATGGATCGGGAGCAGAGATGGCACGATGGGATGCCTGCCAATGGCTTACGGGAAATTGTGCGCCTAGAAGCGTTCGCGGGCGTCAAGCCTCCAAGACATTTCGCCGCTCAGCATCTGGCCATCATTGGCCTCTCTTTCTCTCACAAAAAAAGCTATCAAGATGGAAGAGCGTTCATCACATCCCCCCGCACATCATCCGATATCACTTCTCATCATCACAGATGACGTTCCCCAGAGATAGATGGCCATCATCACCCGCCAACGCAGCAAGCAGATCGCCATTTCCCCTTTGCTCGCCGCGCCCTTGACCCTCTCACCTGAGTCAAACACTTGGGCTATACGACGGCGCCGATCCAAGAGCCTGCCGCCGCACCAGCCCACTCCCTAACCCACACTCCGTCCCCACAGCGCGCATCATCCCCGGCCTTCGCGCGCGTCGACGGGCACTCTGTGCGGCTGCCTCCAGACCTCCAATGCTGCTTCCCCACCACTGCACCCCCGGCCGCCGCCCCCGCTCCCTCGCTGCACCCCAGTCACTGCCCCTCCTGCCTTTCACACACCCAGGCTTTCCCGTCCGCGGCAACAACTCCTCCACTCATCGCTCTCGGCCTGTCAGCCCTATCGGAAGAGACCGGGACGTGACTCGGCAGCAGCTTCTCGAAGCTGCGAGCTGCGCGCTGCGCAACCCAACCTCGCTCTGTTCCGATCGTGCAGCAGCAGCAGGGCAGCAAGCAGCAGCAGCAAGCCCCTCTGTGCCCCTCTGTCCTCTAGGTGCCCCTCTGCCCCTCCCCCTCATTTTCCAGTTTCTTGTTTCAGCCATGGGTCCGGAACGGCATTATCCGCTTGCTCGCGTGCTGCGCTCACCACCACCTCCCACCACCACCCATTACCATCAACGCCACCCACCTCCCTCACACACCACCACCACCCCTAGAATACTCTAAAACCCACGCAACGCCGTCGCGCCGGCGCGCGTCCAGCGGCTCGGGCCAAGGGAAGGCTTGCTCTACTATATAGTAGCAGCAGTAGCGCAACGCTACTCGCGCCTGCTCCTACTCTACTCTACCGTGCTCTACTCGTACTCGTAGGAGTAGGTTCGGTCGAGCGCCCTAGCTTGTCCGCTAGAACACGCCCCCGCCGTCTAGAATATTATTGTGCAGAGCAGAGCAGGCGCGCAGCACTCCTACCCTTAAGCAACGATACTCCTAGGTAGGAGTACTCCTACGGAGTAGCGCGCACACGGCCGCGTGGCCTCAGGCTCTAGAGCGGCCGGTCGCGCAGCCCACGCGCACGCAGTGGCTTGCATATCTTGGTGCCCGGGCGCCGCGCCGCGTTTTGCGGGGAAAGGGAAGGGAGTAACCATGGAGTACAGCAGTCTGGAGTCTGGGGAACGGGGGCGCGGGGTTCGTCGCGGGGTAGTGTGGTGTGGTGTGCGCCCTCCCTAGAGTAAGTGCGTACTAACGTAACGTACTCCGCGCGCTGTGGATGGCTGGGATCCTTGCTCGTTTCTCACCGCTTTGGCGGGCGTTGCGCCGCCGTGGGTGATTCCGGAAGCATGGCGTGGCGCGCGCACGCGGGCTGTTGCTGCTTGTGGGGTTGGGCGTCCGCAGCGTCCCGTTGGTGTTGTCGTTGTTGCCGTTTGTTGCCGTTGCTGCTGCTGCATGCTGCTGCTGCATATGCGATGAGGATCTCGGAGGATTGCGGTGGAGATTTGCTGGTTTAGTACAGTAGGTAGTCACACATCAATCACCATCGCATCTTGCATGTTTCACTGCCGTGTACAAAGTACAAGCCTGATCTTCTTTTTCTTCTTCGTCTGGAATGTTCGTAGATTGTTCGTTTGTTCCTAACGTACTACCTGGCGTAAACTAGCAATTGCTGAAATATCGCAGTTCTTTCCTCTCTCTCTGTGACGTGGTATCCCAAAGCAAAAATAACAACCAAAAAAACGACAGTTGCCGACGAGCGACGGAAAAACGCCAAACTTTGTGGAAAGCAGACCGTGAGACGATAACGACAGAACTCATGCCCGACCAACCGCGAATAACACCAGATAGATCCTCCAAATAGACATGTGATACCCCATCCACAAGGAAAACCCTAACCATAAACTATACTATACCGCCCATAGCAATAAAAATCCTAAGACATAAGTGTTGAAGCCGCCATTGGAATGAAATCGGGAAACCCTTTTGATTTTTTTTAGAGCCCAAAGTTGCCGTCGAGACTGACCATGCCGGCAGTGCCCGAAGGACTGAGGTCAGGGATCACCAGGCCGCGGTAAGTATCGGAGCTGTTGGAGCCAAAATCACACGCGTATTCGTCGCTTCCACTAGTCAAGCTCTCGTCCGAGAAGCTGAGCACGCTTTGTGGAGGCGGCTGATCCGTCGGCCCCACCCACATGCTGGGCGACCATGCCAGGTTAGCCTCGGCCGCCGCGGAAAGCGGGGGAACGTCGTTTAGCGCATCCATTGGCGGCCCGCCGTAAATGCTGTCGTAGATGTTCGTTGTTCCATTGTCGATGCCGCTGAGGAGGCGCTCCCACTCGTTGCTGTCCGTCTTTCCGTTGGGCGCTGGCGGGTTGATCGTGTAGGCACCAACGGTAGTGGGATCGACGCCGAAGGAGAGGTAATCCAAGTTGGGAATCGAGCCGGTACCACTGGGACGGCGGACCTTGTTTGCGGGCAAAGCGCCAAGGGAGGCGCGGTGAGCAACTGGCGACAGCGTGGGCTCAGAGCGAGCGCCAGGCTCGGAATTCACAGAGTGTATGCTGATGCCGCTCTGGTTGCTGTGCTGGAGGTTGGGCAGCGTTGCGCGACGGGCCATATCCTGCACACTTTCCTGGCTCTGGTGGCGTTGCGGTGAGAAGCGGGAAGCTATGGCCTTCAAGTGCTTCTGAGTTGACCGGATTGCGTCCTGAGGCGTGGCCGTGCTCGGCGCATTAGACGGGCTTTTTGGCGCAGCACGCTGCTCGGGCCGTGCAGTCATACACTTGGCCACACGACGGAACGCAGCGGCTCCGGGAGCAGCCGACCGATCGAGGAAGTTGTTGATGACAGCCATGAGCTTCTGGTTGTCCTTGACGAGCTTGCCATCCTGGTCCACCTCAAGACTCTGGAACATCAAGCCGAATCCGGAAACGACGAGGAGTCTATTCCTGTTCATACACAGGGAAAAGCTCAGGGTCCTCTCCTCGAGCAACTGGATGATCTGGATTATGTGCTTGCACGAAGCGGCAAGGGCCACAACAGCAGCCGAGCCCTTGCTCCCAAGGTTAGCGCAGACAGCTGGACGCCAGATGAGGGTCCGGATGTAGTGATAGACCATGGACTACTATAAGTTAGCTGGCGTGTTCAGAAGTAGATATACAGGAGAAACATACCAAAATTGGCGAACGGCTGCTAATCACATTGGTGCTTGGCTTGTCCTGTGCAAACTGAAGCTTCAGATGAGTCGGAAGAGAGTTCGACCACTCCTCAAGCTCATCAGACTGGGCCGTCAGCTTGCGGAGAGAGATATCGTAGGTTGGCGAAGCCTGGTAGTTCTCGGTAAGGATCTTGGCGATGATACGAGATACCCTGAACAGAGCAAGAGCACTGGACAGCTTGGTAAACTCGCCCGGAAGGGATGGCAGGAACCCCTTTTCGGTAACATATTCGTCATCAGCATCGACGGGATATTCACAGTGGACATCCTCCTCCTTCAAGTGCTTCGGGAGTCCGAGCTGTGCGGCGGTGAAGCTGTACAGGTTAGCAGGTGGAGCGGGCGGGTCGGGAAGAGTGGAGCTTACCAGTCAAGGGTGTACAGGGTCCAGAACACCTTCTTCCTGGTCTCACCGGTCAAAGCTCCGAGCGCAAAGCGCTTCTGAGACTGGTGGAGACCAAGGCGGTACGAGAGACTGATGGCAATACCCTTGTACTTCAGCAGGCGCGCATAGTCGGCCTTCTGCACGCAGTACATTTGCGCGAGGACAAGGCACTGCATCGTAGCCATCGAGCTGTCGTTGAGGAACGAGTCGAGAGCTGCCTGCCATTGCGCCTCAAAAGAGTCGAGGTGCGCCTTGTCGGCGGACTGCACGTGCGTTAGATATAAAGTTAGGCGTGCAAGGGGCGGCAACATACATCGCTAGAAAGTGCCGCAATACCGAACACGAGATTGAGCTGAGCAAGAGACTTCCTGTCGGTCATGGTATCGGGACTGTTGACGTACTCCTCGTACAAGCCGAGGAATGTAGGCCGGTGCAGCACTGGGAAGAGCGGCGCCCACTCCTGGAAGAAGATGTTGATCATTTGGTCAGACACCATACGCGGCGGAGCCTTCCAACACACAGGGTCTTCCCTGTATGTCGAAGGCGGCAAGTTGGTTTCCGAGTCGAGGAATCCCTCGGGCTTGATCGCGGGGAACGTCCGCCCGCTCTCTTGGATACGGCGATTGAAAGCATCTGCGCATGTTAGAAAACGTAGGAGCAATAGCGCGCTGAGACGTACCAATCAATGTCCTTCCACTCGACGTTCCGACAAAGTAGGAGTCTGCTGAGCCGTCCTCGAGGAGTAGAGGCGATTGTTGAATCTTGAAGAGGTCCTCTTTATCCACCTCTTCTTTCGGCGACGCCGGCCCAGGTGATAAGGACAAAGATTTCCGACTCGCGCTCATTGACTGGGGCGAATGCGAGTGTATCCGCGACAGCATGTCGATCTTCTCGTCCTTCTCGTCCAACAAGTCCTTCAACTCGCGGATCTCGGCTTCCAGCTGGCGGACACGCTCCTCAAGTGACTCGGTGTAGCCGCGAGGGAAGGCGCGCCTGCTCAGCTTGTCGCTAGTCTTGCACTCGAAGCCGACGTTGAGGCATTGCGAGCAGCTGGGCCGGATGCCGTCGCATCGGATCTTTTTGCTCCGACATCGGTCGCATGCCTGAGCGATTCGGGTTTGGGAGTTTCCGCCGACTTTGATGACCTTCATGGGAAGAATGCCAGGCATGGTGGGTGGTGGGTGGTGGGTGGTGAAGGCGGAGCCTCCGGAAAGTATGGCGGGTGGTCGGCTAGTGCACGCAGGTCGCGCAGGATGTGACTGGTGGTTGCGGGAAGGTGTCGGCTAAGTGTGGCAGTGTTGGTGGTGGTGGTCGTGGTCGTGTTCGAGTGTCGGCAGCCAAGGGAGATTGAAGGCTGAGGGAGTGTGGTGGTCGGCGGGTTGAGGATGTTGGTAGGTGAGGAGGGAAGATGGAGATTTGGAGAAATTATTGAGGGGAGAGAGAGGTTAGATGAATGTGCAGCGACAAGGGCGTCGAGACTAGCGAGTCTGGGGTATGGAAGTCTGGTCGAGAAATGCGGGGGTGGTGGAAGGGTAGCGAGTAATGGCCAATCAAGCGCTGCGTGTAGTCAATAGCGTCCCGTTTCCTTTTCGTCTCACAAAGCCACGAGGCGCGCGACGCTGGGCATCTTTAGCTCACTCCTCTGGAATCTTTTGTCAGTGTCGTCGACCCCCAAGGTGCTTGGATCGCCCAAAACCGTCGTGCTCAAGCTTCAAGCCGGGCCTTCTACGGGGCATCTCCTAGCCACAAGCGTAAAGATCAACGGTGATATGCAATCAACGATTCCTCATTCACCGGTGAGCCAGGCTATGGCGTCCTCTGACGTCCTGCCTCGCAAAAGTCTCGGGAAGGGAACGCAATCATAGTGGGACGCCTGAAGATCCTGGGACTGCCAAAGGCGCAGCCCTGTGTTGTCTGCTGCTCGAGCCCACGAGAGCGCCGTGAACTTTCGCTGTCGTTGCGGCGCAGTGCCCTTGAGGTCATCCGACCCCTGAAGTGCTCTGGGCCCCCTCGTCCAACACAGCCTGTCAAGTCTCGAAACCAGCTGGCCGGGTGCCCCACGAATACGTGTGTGGGCGAAGCTTCCGCGCGACCCCAGATCGCTGTCTCTTTCTGGCAATTCCGCTGCATATCCACCTGCGGCCTAAGCTCAATCAGAACCTCAACACCACTTCTCTTTGACTAGCACGACTAGGTAGCCCAGCTTTTATGATCTTTCCTTGGGCCCCCCCGTCGCCGTCGCTGCTTGTGGCCGACGACATCCCAAGTCATTGGTCAAAGACGAGCCGCTGCCCAAGCTGGCGTGATTTTGCTCGAGTACGAGCAGCTCACGTGTTCGCTGCATAGAAGCCGAGTCCAGAAAAACTGGTAATTCTTCGATAGCTGCAAGTCGCCCCAATAGTTCGAACCGCGGAACCCCGCATGTTTTCTCGCGGGAAAAGCTCTGCCATTGTGTTCGAGGCGAAAAGGTGCCAAAGTCAAAGTGGCGAGATAGGTGAGAGCCGACACCGGGCGGTTCGCCAGAGCATGCGGCAAGAGCCATGAGCTAGGGGATACGTCACCAGCCCAGTGGGCAGCCAAAGTCTGGTACGGAGATCAAGCGGCGGGATGTCCACGTTGTTGACGCCTGTCACCCGCCGTTAGCGTTCCAGTAAACAAAGGATTTTCTACCGTGCACACCGGCGTGACCAGCTTGCGATGAACGCCGGTGGGGAATGCGAGGAGGCTTGAAGACCGGCGACAAAAGTTGGCAGCGCAGGGCGTCCTAGTTCCTTTCCCAGGGTGCCAGGGTCCAAAGGGCCAACCTCATTTCCGAATCCTCGTCTCCTCTCAATCGCGCTAACGTAAGGTACAAGAGCAAACTCACTCAAACGAAGAAGGGAAGGCGTCCCCACCTCCGCGACTACAGCGATCTTGAGATTCCCGTGCGGCGACAAAGTTATGCTTCGTCCAATGGACGGATATCTTCGATGGAGGACGTGTGGCGACGATAGGGTCGAAGATTGCCTTTAACGATCCCAGATGAAGCTAGGGCATGGCTAGAAAGGCTAACCGTCAGACCGTTCGGGTAACGGCAGCTGCCCATTGCTCTTTTTAGCATGAAACAAACGAAAGGGGTCCTTTGGGTTCGAGAACTGTAGATCTGCATTACTTGCAGTTATTGCTTTGTCTTCCATCCGTGCGGCAGTGGCCTTCTGTTTGTGTCAGCTGCATATGGAGAGCAGTGAGAGCATGCAAGGTATTGTGCCCCTTTTCCCTTGACATTCATAATTTTTCCAGATATACAATGGTACGTAGCGCTGGAATTTGTACCAGGCTTTGCTCTTCTTTAGTTTGTCAGTCGAATAATACAGTCAAGACTGGTTATGACATTTGAGCTGATTAGTAGTATCTAACTGTTTAAAAGGTATTCATCGGTATGTCCGGATATGGTTTGTGTAACTTTTCGTATACTTCAGCCGGTATAGAGCGAGAAACCTCGTAGACAATGAATGCTAAAGGGAGCTGAATTGTAAACATTTTTTTTTAATGTGAAGCTGATGTCAAGCTCAAACGGTATAACCAGTTTCGACTGTAGGGCAGAGTATCTCCCACAATGTGCCGTTCATTCGCTAGTCTGTCGTTATGAGAAATCTTCCTCGGGGCCATTGTCTTCAGCCATAGCCGTCAAGTATTGTTGCACGACGTCTGTGCTCATGAGTTTCTCCTTCTCATCTTCGAGGTCTCCGTACGCCCTCTCCAAGAGATCTCTTTCCAGGCCTCTCAACCTTTCTATCAAACTCCATACTCCAGGTCTGATCTGGGTCCCTTCTCCTTTCTGAGCTGTCTGTACGTCTTCTTCGGAACCGTGTAACAGCAAAAGTTGCTTTTCCACCCGTTCTTGAAGCATAGATACGGCACGCAGTTGGAAAAGATCCCACATGGCATGGTTGCGGAGGTGGTCGACTAGCTTGTCAGATTCCACGAGTCTCTGACCGTCCCACTGTACTTGAAGTTCTCTTCCTCCGTCGGTGGTTTGGACGACTTCAAACTCTAGCCCATCCTCTTCATTTACGACAACTAGCCAGACGAAGTCACTGTACCAGTGCGTTGAAGCAGTCTTTCCCTCGGCTCTTTCGGCATCACAGAGACGGAAACCAGGCGCGGAAGTGTTTATGTGCATTTTAGCACGTTTAAGAGGATCGTCATTCGGAATATCCAGATCGAGGAAGAGCTCATGTGCTGTGTCCATAGAGTCCTCGATAAAGCCGTATGAGAAAACCATCTCACAAGCTCCTTTCTTGTCGCCATAGCTACACAACAAAATTTTAGTGATTCCCATAATGTCGAGAGTAGAGTTGATAGCCTTACGTTATAGTGATCTCATCGCCCTTCTTCAACTTCTTTCCATCTCTGAGGAGGAGTGCACCATTACCCTCAGAATCTGCCTCGTAGAGGGCAATGGTCGCTTCGCCACTTGAATGGTTGGCCATGTCAATGCAGGGAACCATGCTGTCGCCTATTCCGGGAAATTCCAGTGCGCGAGAGCGGTACATGGCATCCACCTGAAGCCAGTCATCAAAAGAGAGGTTTCCATCCACATCATCCCACCATTCCTCCGCGCACCAAGCTATGTTGTTTGTTGCAGAGCGCAGTTTTTCAAACTCTCTATTAAGACTGTTGAGCTTGGCTTCAATGGCTGGCTTTAGTGTAGTGCCGATGAGAAGTTCGCGCTCTTCCTCTGTCCAGAATGTCGGTAGAAGTTCGTCGGGTAGGAATTTAACATATCTAAATCGCTCGTTACTACCGATTGCATAAAGGGTAGCAGCACATGGGTCATACTCTGTCAGTGGATTATGTACACCAATCTTGCCTTTGATAGCTGGACAGCATGCAGTAGCTTGCATAAGAAGGAAAACTAGAATTGATATCCTGGCTGTCTGAAACAAGACTCAGCCATTTCATCCATATTAGGAAATGCAAGACAATACGACAGGTAGTCAAATGGGTTGGACTTGAGAAGGCGAATGTGGGAATAATCTTTAACTGAGTAAAACATCGTCAAAGCTCTCTTGCACCGTCACTCAGACGCAATAGGAGTCAAAATAGGAGCATGCTGGGGCCAGGGGGCTGAAACAATCCGCGCTTACCCTTCCGAAATCGTCTAGTGCGTCTAGCACCTCCCGAAGGTGCTGGTCTGACTTTGCATGCACGCGCACAGCCTCGAGAGAAATCACGAGGTCGTGAGGAATGATCATAAGAGGTTCTTCATTGCCGCCAGCTAGATCTCTTTCCGCAATGACGGTGGAACCTCGGTGCTCGAAGCCGGGGAGAGGCCCAACCGAGACAGCATTGAAACGAACGTCGTTGAACTCCGCCCACGGTCTGAGGGCAGACGTCGAAAGCTTGAGCCAGCCTTCGGATCGACCCCGTCTGATCATCGTGGACGATAAGGCTGAGATTAGCGAACGGTAGGGACGCGCCTAGATTGTTGGGCGGCCAGAGTCGCGTGCTCGAAAAAGACGGGACTGGCGCGTGAACGAAGGTGATAGTTGTCTAGTCGGCGTTGTTGTCAAATTGAAACGGGTCTAGACTTGTTGACGTCAGGTGGGCGCAGACTGGCAATGCCTAAAGTTGGAACTTTGGGGGTTGTCAGGCGGCTTTCTTGTTTTGACGACGCGAGTAGGCGGTGAGGCCAGACGGTGTAGACGCGTCCGTGTAGCGCGAACGCGCTCCGCACGGGCAACCGAGGGCTTAGGAGTTGGGGGCGATTGGGCGGCTTTCTGACAGGCAAAATCAGGCGCGGGGACGAGAGTGAGCCTCGCGTGTCCAGCGCTTGGTGGCAGTGATGCGTGTCGTGAAACGCCCTGCCAAAAAAGCCGTGGCAGTGTGCTCTTCCCTAGCAACCGCTGGCCCGCTAACGCCGTGCGCTAAGCCCGAACGGTCTGCGCTAGCGAATCCAACCATAACATTGCATCAAGCTAAAGGTCCACGAGTATCCCATTCTCCCTCCTCCCACAACAACGACCATTCCACCACATCTTTAGGATTATTCCTCTGTGTTATTCCCCGCCAGAAGGGTCGTGGGACATTCGCCTCGGTGCTCGCTTCTCCATCCCAGCACCCTCCCCAGCCCCGCCCCAGCCCCCCGATAAACAACACCCGGGCCCGCGGAGAGCGCGTCAACCATCCCTCACCCTCAAGTCACATCAGAAGCAGAGCGCGCCCTTTGGCCATGCCGTCGACAGCAACCATGGATGAGTCGCGTAGCAACGCGACCAGCTACGGGCAGATCATCGAGTACATACAGGGTATGCCAGCCTCCTCTTTCCCCGCACCAAAACACCAAAATCATCCTAACTCGACTCTTGATAGACCGTCTTTACTTGGCCTCGTACACTCACCCGCCCAACGCGCATACCCCCTTCCCGTATCCCGCCGCGAAGCAGAGCAGGTCTCCCACCAAGCGCTCCTCGAGAGCCACGCAGGCCCCCACCGCTGTTAAGAAGCTCAACCCCCCTGTCTACTTTTCGATCGACCGTAAGCTTCTGTACAATGCTTTCCACGCCGACTTTGGTCCGCTGCACATCGGTCACCTTTACCGTTTCGCTGTTCAACTGCATGAAGTCCTGGGCGACCCTGCCAACGAGAACAGGCCAGTCGTCTTTTGGTGTCATGCCGACTCGAGAAGTCGCGCAAATGCCGCTTGTCTGCTCGCCTGTTACATGGTTCTCATTCAATCTTGGCCCCCTCACCTTGCTCTCGCGCCTATTGCTCAGATGGATCCTCCTTGCATGCCCTTCAGAGATGCGGGGTACAGCCAAGCCGACTATGTTCTTACCATTCAAGATGTTGTTTACGGTGTATGGAAGGCAAAGGAAGAGGGTATTTGCAGCTTAAAAGACTTTAGCCTTGAGGAGTATGTCAACCCAAACCCTACAGTCTCTTCTTTGCTGACTTTTGTTCCAGATACGAGAGGTATGAGCGCGTTGATATGGGCGACTTTAACTGGCTTACGCCGGATTTCCTCGCTTTTGCATCGCCTCAGCACCAGCCTGCTCAGGTGATCCCGCCTACGCACAAGCTTTACGAGTCGGTACCTAAGACGATTTCTGAACTTGAGGTGGCCGACATCCCGACCCCGTTTAAGAATGTCCTGCACCACTTCTCAACCCGTAACATTGGTCTTGTCGTCCGTCTCAACTCACCTCTGTACTCTCCTACCTACTTCTCTGCTCTTGGCATCCAGCACCTCGACATGATCTTCGACGACGGCACGTGCCCGCCTCTAAACCTTGTCCGGAACTTCGTCAACTTGGCACATGAAATGATCACTGTGCGCAACAAGGGCATTGCGGTGCACTGTAAGGCTGGCCTTGGTCGCACTGGTTGCTTGATTGGCGCATACCTGATTTACAAGCACGGTTTCACGGCCAACGAGGTTATTGCTTTCATGCGTTTCATGCGTCCGGGTATGGTCGTTGGTCCCCAACAGCACTGGCTGCACCTCAACCAGGGTACTTTCCGCGAGTGGTGGTACGAGGATTCGATGATGGCGAAGCTTGCTGCGATGTATCCGTCGACCCCGACGAAGGCTTCGCACAGGCAGCGCCTTGCCAGCAATGGCCAGACCTTTACTCCTCCAAACGGAACCCACAAGCGTGCGGCCCTTGGCGAGATCAACTCCAACGACCAGCGTACGTCGTCGATGAACCAGGGAATACACGACGAAAATCTACCTGCACCCACGCCAGGACAGCCGCGTAAAACCAGTAAAATATACGGTACCGGCAGTCGACACCAATCACCTCGACGTACTTACGAGAATGATCCACCTCTTCCTACAGAGTCTGAATCTGAAGAAGAGCATCAACTCCGGTTACTGGCGAAGAGGAGTGTATCAAGGTCTCCACAAGCAAAATCCCCTTCTGCGAAAACACCACTTGCCCAAAGTAATAGTAGTAAAAGGCGAGCGGTGAGTTGTACGACAACTGCCACAATGACTACGACCACTGTGTGGAATGGCAATGAGAGCGATGTCGAGAACCACGCACCAGCACCCAAGACACCATCTACGAAAAGTGGCAGCGGCGCAGGTGCCATCAGTGTCGGCAAAACCAGAAGTCCTACCAGGCGAGGTACCGATGCTAGCAAGGCGGGGGTGAGAAAGACGAGTGGTAGAGTCGGGAGTATGGGCAACGGTACCAGGGTCAAATCGGCGAATTGACCCTAGTGCCGAGCATGGCTGTTGACGAATACCTTGAGCAGAGATCTCGGCGTTCGCATTGCCAATGGCTCCGGAAGTCTCGTCACTTCCGCCACCACTGCATTCCGTCTGCAGGTGAATGTCTTTTCACAAGTTCTCGTTCGAGACTTGATGATACGAGGGAGGATTATTTGAAGCGACTCAGTTCAGCCGACTAGTCGAGCGTTCAAGCGCGCGTTGTCTATGCTCTATATATAGAGCTATTTGTTTTTCCGAATGACACGGGCGGGGTTGTAGGCGTTACAACTGGGAAGGATTTGCTCTTTTGGCTTTCTTTTTTCTGGCAATGGCTTAGTTTGCTTTGTCACGTCGTCCCTTCTATTCTGTTAGCACGTAGGGATGGTCTTATTGTTTGTGGGTCCTGGGAAGGTCTTGCTTCATAGTCATTGTTTGGGCGTCATTCATGGTACATGACGGTTAATGAGAGCGCATACACTTGTTGCATTTGATGGGTCCTTGACTGTTTTCGTTGCTTGTACCTTTTCTTTCTAGAGTCTTAATCGAACATTGCTAGCATCGGAAGTAAAACTGCACAGGAACCTGAGGCCTTTAACGTCAACGCAAACAAATCATGCGGACGTCAAGAGATAAGGCCGTGTGAAACCTAGACAATACAGTCCAGGGTCGGGGTTGTAGCGCTTGCTCAAGCTACTTGGGAACAACAACAATCTAAAAATATGTTTGAAGCGAAGTAGTATGAATTAGGTGTCGGATTCTTTGTAAACAACAGCGCGGGAGTGGATGGCGTCTCATCCGCCCAGGCCGACCGCCCGCCAGACACTAAACCGCATTCGTCGCCGACCTTGGCAAGTCAACCTCCATCATCGACCGCCAAGCAAGCACGCCGCAACGCGCTCCGCAACAACCACACCGCACGACATGACCATCACCGAGACGCTCAAGGAAGCTGTGGGCCTCGGCCACGGCCACAGCACCCCCTCCGGCCGTGAGTCCCACCCCTCCGAGCTCGCGGGCAGGCGCAATGGCAACCGCGAGCGAGGGCCGCGCACGCTAGCAGCAGCACCACCACCACTAGAGCTCCGGAGTGAACGCTACCGAGCCGGGCTGAACTGAGATCAATTGGACTGACCCGGGGCCTTTGCAAACATAGCTGCCACGCGCGAGGAGATGTCCGCCGCGAAGCTGCCGATCCCGTACCGCGACAGCTGCGCGCACCTGCTGATCCCGCTGAACCGCTGCCGTTACGAGGAGTACTACCTTCCGTGGAAGTGCGAGGTATGACACCATACGCCCCCTCCCATCAAGAAAGAGAAGCGGAGAGGAACAGCGCTCGCGCTGCCCTTCAATGCCTCCTAGGAGCATTGGAGGCTCGCGGGCCAAGCGAGTAAAAGCGAGAACTTGGGGGCTGAAGCGTTTCAATTTGTCGCAGGACGAGCGCCACACCTACGAGAAATGCCAGTACGAGGAGTTCAAGAAGCGGGTTGCCAAGATGGACGAGCTGAGGGCGGCGAAGAACGGCGCGAGGAGCAACTGAGCGCAAGAGTGGACGTGGCTGGAGAGAGGGACTGGGCGAGCTATATTGATGGACGGCGGTATACCTCCGTTTCTTGTCGAATCGAGCCTCGAGCGGGCGGCTACCTGTATATTCCATCCCGTCTCGGCGGCGCCCCCGAAAATCAAGACTTCGATTTCTCTGCGCACAGCGGAAGGCTTTGCATTCGTTTGTGCTCGCTGATGAGGAGCAGCAGGCTCGAGAGTTTGACCCCTGACCTCGTCGGTGAAACGAGGCACCGAAAACATGCATATGGATCATCGAAGGCCATGAGGCCGGTAGATAAGGTCCAAGGAATTTTTACTTTGACCGACCGCTTCATTTATCGCAGTGAATTTTCAAATATTGTCTGACCGAAAAGTCTACCATTATCTGGTTATTAGATGACTATTTCCAACAATCCCCCAAGCCTGTTCTGTTCATTAGATGGTATCTCGATATTGTCTCCTCCAACCCGTCGCCCTCCTATATACACCAGGCGTGCGATTTACAGCTTGGCCCTGGGGCGTTCCTCTTCTGCTATCTCCTTCTGGGCCTGCTCTTTTAACGCCTTTCTGAGTATCTTTCCGCTCTGTTTTATAACCGTCAGTCAACTGTTTGCAAGCGCGTTCGGACAGCTACTTACCGGGTTCTTGGGGATAACGTCGCAGAACCTAATCCCACCAACCAAGCGCTTGGTCCTTGAAACCTTCTTGTTCAAGAACTCATGCACTTCGTCGGCAGTGACGCTGCGGCCTTCCTTTCTGACAACGTATGCGCGGGGCAACTCTTCGCCCTTTATCGTCACGCCGATAACGGCAACGTCCGCGATGCCCGGATGCTCCAGGAGCAAGAACTCCAGCTCTGCAGGCGCGACCTGGTTGCCCTTGACCTTGATCAACTCCTGTTTGTTTGCAAGGTTAGTAAATTTATTTCCAGGCATTGAGTACGCAGCTTAACTGCTTCCATACCTTCTTGCGGTCCACGATGAAGAAGAAGCCGGCCTTGTTGATGCGCGCAATGTCCCCCGTCTTGAGCCAGCCGTCCGCCGTCAACGTCTCCGCCGTCGGCCCCGGCTTCCTCCAGTAGCCCTTCATGATGTTGGGCGCGCGGATCCACAGCTCGCCCGCCTCCTCGCGCGGCAGCTCCTGCCCGTTGTCGTCTACGATCATGGCCTCGCAGTTGGGGGCCAGCTCGCCGACGGAATGCGAGTCGGAGTAGGCGTTGGGGTGGTAGCCGGTGACTGTGCAGGTTGCTCTGAGCGTTTGTTAGTAGGACAGTCGTTAGGATGTATAAAAGTAAGCAGGCAGTGTGTGTGCGTGGACGTACTCGGTCATTCCCCAGCCTTGCTTGATGTTGACTTGCCCCTCGGGCCACAGCTTCTCCAGCTCCGCGCACACCTCCCTGCTGAGTGGCGCTGCTCCGCTGACGACTCTTTCGACGCAGCTCAGATCGAACTGCTTGGTCGCGGGGTGCTTAGCCATGGCCACAACGACAGGCGGCACGAGGGTCAAGTCCGTGATGCGGAACTTGTGCGTATACTCGAGCATCTTGATGAAGTCGAACTTCTGCATCAGGTAGACAGGGATCTGGCGCATAGGGGCAGCGACGCAGAAGATAGTCTGGCCCATGGCGTGGTACAGGGGCAGGAAGCAGAGCAGCTTCTCGCGCTTCGTCTTGGTCTCGTAGTTGACGTCGAGGCGCCACACGTGCATCGTCTGCTCCGTGTTGGCGACGTAGTTGCGGTGCGTGATCTCGACGCCCTTGGGCACGCCCGTCGTCCCGGACGAGTAGTTCAGCGCGATGGTGCGGTCGAGCTGCGCGCGCGTCGTGAGCCGCTCCCACGCGAACGAACGCCCCTCCTCTTCCCCCGCCAGCAGCGCGCTCCAATGCCGCACTCTGCCGCCCGCAGCCGCCTTGCCCGTCCCATCCATCGTCGCGTACCCGCCAGCATCGAAAACGAAGACAGAGTCCTCAGCCAAGCCGACGCTGCGCGCCGCCTCCAGCCCCGTCTCCAGACTGGCCTCGGCGCAGATGAGGAACCGCGCCCCGGAGTCCTGCAGCTGGTACGCCAGCTCGCGCGGCACGTAGGAGGGGTTGGCGCCCGTGAAGACGCCCCCCGCCATGATGACGCCCAGCACCACCACGGGGAAGAAGATTGTGTTGCCGCTGAAGAGCAGGACGCGGTCGCCAGGCTGGAGCCCCGCGCGCTGCAGCCCCGCGGCGAGCCGCTGCGCCCATAGCCGGTAGCTCGTGAATGTGAGGTGGTAGGCGTCTGGCTTGGCGGCGTCGATGATGGCGGGTTTGGTTGCGAGTGGTGTGGTGGGCGATTGGAAGACGTAGGTTGGTAGGTCCACATCTGGGATTTGGCAGCGCCAGCGCGATTGGACGGGCATTGTTGTTGTTGTTGTGGGTGCTTGCTTGCTTGCTTGCTCGGTTCTGTCCTCCTGGTGGTGGGGGAGGTGCTTGGTGGATGGGATGGGATGGGGGGGGGGGGTTCAGGATTGGAGCCGCAGCAGGCAGTGATGTGAGGGTGGGGGAGGCCTGGACCGGGGAGTTTATAAACGCCGGATCATGCACTGGGGGTAGGGGAGGGCGGAGCAGACGAGGTGCATGAACCCGAAGAGGGATTCTAGAAGCCGTGGGTGGAGACGATGGTGGAGCTCAAGAATGCACAAAGTTGGAGAGTGATGACGACGAAGGGTAGAGTAGACGAAATAAGTACGAAAGAGAAAAAAACCAAGACTCTGAAAGAAAGGGCGAATTAGGTACTTGAATTAGGTGCGGATTTAGGCGATGTTGATAGCTACGGCCTTTACTCTTTCTTCCAATCACCACCGGTAGTCCAAGATACAGTTGCGGGGACGCAATGTGGAGAACAGCCGTGCAGCCGAGGCATCATCGCTTGCAGGGCTGAGCATGGCACAGCAGCGTACGAGAAAGAGGCAGAGTGAGGTCTTTTTTGCAGCGGAGGCTCGGTGGAGCATCAGGCCAGAAGGGCAGCCAACGGAGATGACGACGCAAGTAGCACAGAGCTAGGCGTGCTACAATGGGGATACGACTGTTTGAGGAGCGCTTCCAGGTGTGCTCCGTAGAGTAGCCGTAGCGGACGCTTAGTGCAGGGGGGGGGGCGAGTACGTACTTGGTCTTCTCGGCCGTAGCAAAGGGCGGAGGTCCCAGAAGACGACAGGGTCGGGGAGGGCTGCTTTTTGCAGCTGCTGCATTGGCTGTGCTACGCACCTACTCCGGTAGCACTGCCGACAGCTGCGAGGTGCTATCAGTTTGCGTCGTGTGCAGCGAACTCGGCTCTGCAGACCCCTCTCTACTACACGGCACACAACAGCCGTCCACGCGCGCTTGTAAATGCAGCTCTGGGTAGCACTGCCGTTTAGACTGCATCATTGATTGCCAGATGCGGGAATACCGTCAACGTCGTCGCTGGCCTAGTAGGTAAGACGTCGGGACCAGCTCGGAGTGCGCGGAAGCGAGGGATGCGTCGTATGGTAGTTAGTAGTGAGTAGCGAAAAAAAAAAAAAAGAAAGAAAGAAAGAAAGAAAGAAAGACAACGTGGCAGGAGAGGAGGCAGTTCCAGCTAGATTGGTAGAGACGAGGTTGAGCGTTTACGATTGAGAGAGTCAAAGGGCGTCGACTAGTGGCTGACATCGGCTTTGGTGTCGATGGGGGGTCGATGGGGTCTGGCACGGCCACAAGCGAGCTGCTCCCTCCTCCTCGTCTCCTCGTCTCAGGTCCGCAATCCTGTAACAGGCAAACCATCCAAGCCGCCCGCGCGCATTACCTCCTCGGAGGGGCCATGGGGGGCCGATCAGAAAGCCCAGGGGGTTCGGGACGACTCGACCGAGCATGGGCCCTGACGGTCCGCGTCTGAATGCCTTTAATGCCTAGTTCCCGATCAGCATCCACTCGAACCACACTCTGCCCGCGCGACTCAACAACTGCGTCCTTTCGGCCGTGATCGGTCGCACTCGCACTGCCCAGAGGGCCTGAGGGGACAACCACACGCCACCACCTTGCTCCTCCTCGCTGAGCCAAGTCACAGCTACTCACCGCGCGATTTTATCTTCGCTCCAGTATAGACTGCTTCTACCTGGCCTTGGGTAAGCTTATTGCTAAATCTCTCGACAAGGAAGGCTATATGAGGATCTTCGACTCCTTGTGCTGCTCTTCCGCCTCTGAGCTCGCTATGATTGACCTTCTGAGACTGAGCCGACGTTAACACAGTTTCATTGGGCTATACCTCAGCCTGACCGTCGAACTACCGGCCATGTCATTGGCTGAAGTCCCCTCTGACATCAAAGAAATTAGCATCCGCACCTCTCCCAAACACTTCAACTCTTCTCCTGGAGACATCGTTGCCACATCTGGATACACGTGCTTTCCGAATTTTCGCCTCAGCTTACCACTGTCCCGGAACCGCGTCCCAGACACCACCAACACTGTCCGTTTTGGGCAACTGGCTGGTCAAATCCACGTCCTGAAACTCGCTGTGATGCTTCAAGATGCTTGGCCTTGAGGCACACTCCAGCCGGATCGTCCTGCGATATGCCTTTCGTAGTAATCTCTTCCTGATCTCACACAGCTATGATTGATGCCAAGGTTTTGAGTGCGCCGGGAAACGGCTTGGCTCTCCAGATTTCCTGGCAGATGGTGGCTGGTATCATGCGCCACAGCTGAGCTTAATGTCGAGCATTATCTGTGGTGTCTGAAGCCTGGATATATAAGAATGGTTGGAAATCTGCAACACCACCACCACCATCCATCAAACATCCGCTCCCATCTTTTTCCATATCTCTATACAGGGCTAGTCCTTTCTTGCGCCGGTCGCCTAATTTTCTTGATACACTCTTTTCCGTTGTTTGTTTAGTCTTATTAACGCTTTATATTCTCTACCTGCCCATTAGACTTCACGATGCATCACTCCGCGAGTTTCGTCATTGCCGCGTTAGCTGCGCAGGCCTCGGCACATGGAGTGATTACGGAGATCCAGGGAGCCAACGGCGTCAAGATGCCCGGGCTGTCAGGTATGTTTTCGAACACAGGACAACAGTGCATTTTTTCGTTTCTAACCTCAGCAGTCATCGATAACACGCCGCGCGACTGCGCCTCGCCCTTCTGTGGCTCAGAGGCCGACACCTCCATCATCCGCGACGACGAGCTGGGAACCGACGCGGCCAGCGCGCTCGGCCGCACCCCAGACGGCGGGCCCGTCGACGCCGCCAAAGCCATCTCTTCCTTCTTGGGCAACTCGGACGACTCCACTGAGGGCGCGTCGAACGAGAAGCGCGGCCTGCTCGACGGCCTCCTTGGCGGCGGTGACAGTGGTGGCGGCAGCGACGCTGGCGGCGATTCTGGCGACAAGGGCGGCCTTCTCGGTGGCCTTCTTGGAGGCAATGGCGGCGACAACGCCAACTCCTCCGGTAGCGGTGGTGGCCTCCTTGGCGGCCTTCTTGGTGGTAAGGGCGGCGACTCTGGCCAGGGAGACTCTGGCAGCGGTGGTGGTCTTCTCGGCGGCCTCCTTGGTGGCAAAGACAATGCCGCCGCCGCCGACGCTGCTGCTGGCGACTCCGCCCAGAACAAAGGCGTCCTCAGCGACCTTCTCGACGGCGACGATGCCAACTCCACCGACAAGAAGGGCCTCCTCAGCGGTCTTCTTAGTGGAGGCGACGACGGCAACTCCACCGACAAGAAGGGTCTGCTCAGTGGCCTCCTTAGCGGCAACGGCGACGGCAACTCCTCCGACAAGGACGGCCTCCTCAGCGGCCTTCTAGGCGGCGGTGGTGGTGACGACGCCGGCGGCGACAAGGGCGGCCTCCTCAGCGGCCTTCTGGGCGGCGACAAGGGTGGTTCCGGCGGCAGCGGCGGCGACGACAAAGGCGGCCTCCTCAGCGGTCTCCTTGGTGGTGGCAACGGCGACTCCAAGGACGCTGCTGCTACTGCTGCTGCCAAGCGTGGCCTCGTTGACGGCCTGCTGGGAGACTTGGGCCTCAATGCTGACACCAGCGGCAACGACGAGGCCAAGAAGGCCGATTTCGCCACGAAGCGCGGTCTCGTTGACGGCCTGCTTGGTGATCTCGGTCTCAATGCCGACACCGACAAGTCCGCTGATGCTTCTGACTTTGCTACCAAGCGCGGCCTTGTTGATGGCCTTCTTGGTGACCTGGGCCTGAACACCGATACTAGTGGCGATGCTGAGGCTAAGAAGGCCGACTTCGTTACCAAGCGTGGCCTTGTTGACGGTCTTCTCGGTGACCTTGGCTTGAATGCCGACACTGACAAGTCTGCTGACACGGCTGATTTCGCCACGAAGCGCGGCCTCGTCGATGGTCTGCTTGGTGACTTGGGCCTTAATGCCGATACTGAGAAGCCCGCTGATACTTCTGATTTCGCTACTAAGCGCGGTCTTGTCGATGGTCTTTTGGGTGACCTTGGCTTGAATGCAGACACTGACAAGTCCGCCGACACTTCTGACTTTGCTACCAAGCGTGCTAAGCGCGGTCTCGTCGACGGTTTGCTCGGTGACCTCGGTCTCAACGCAGACACCGAGAAGTCCGCTGATGCATCTGACTTTGCTACCAAGCGTGGCCTTGTTGACGGCCTTCTTGGTGACTTGGGCCTTAACGCCGATACTGAGAAGTCCGCTGACACTTCCGACTTTGCTACTAAGCGTGGCCTTGTCGACGGTCTGCTGGGCGATCTTGGTCTCAATGCAGACACCGAGAAGTCTGCTGATACTTCTGATTTCGCTACTAAGCGTGGTCTCGTTGATGGCCTTCTCGGCGATCTCGGTCTCAACGCGGACACTGACAAGTCTGCCGACACTTCTGATTTCGCTACTAAACGTGGTCTCGTCAGCGGTCTGATTGGTGACCTTGGCCTGAACGCCGACACCAGCAAGTCTCAGGAAGCCGGCAGTACTGTTTCTAAGCGTGGCCTCGTTGACGGCCTGCTGGGCGAACTCGGTCTCAATGCTGTGGACAGCAACGCAGGCCAGTCTGAGGGCTCCGAGGTCCAGGCTAACAAGCGTGGCCTTGTTGGCGGCCTTCTCGGCGACCTTGGCCTTAACGCGGACACCGGCAACTCTCAGGGCTCCGACAACTCCCAGGGCTCCGAGGTCCAGGCTAACAAGCGTGGCCTTGTTGATGGCCTCCTTGGCGACCTGGGTCTTAACGCTGATACCGACAAGTCTGCTGATGCCTCCGACTTCGCTACTAAGCGTGGCCTCCTTGACAACCTCCTCGGTGGTCTTGGTGGCGGTTCTAGCAACGTCAAGAAGGCGGAGGGCACTGAAACCCCCGCTGGGACCTCGGAGCAGGGTGTCCTCAAGGCTGCAGGCACTGGCGCCAAGTCCGGCCTGCCGACTGCGGAAGACGACGGCACTATCAGCATGACTTTCCACCAGGTCAACCAGGACGGCGCGGGAGCCTTGAGTGCCGCCATCGACCCGTCTTCTGGCGGCACCGACCCCGACGCCTTCCAGGATGCCGAGATCACCCAGGACGTGCCCGGCCTCGGCAAGACGGGGATTTCTCTCGCTGCGAAGACCGACTTCCCGATCAAGGTTAAGATGCCCGAGGGCATGAAGTGCTCTGGCACGGTCGGCGGCGCCAAGAATGTGTGCATTGTTCGCGTCAAGAACGACGCCATTACAGGTAAGCTTTACGAAAGCCCCAATCTATTTTTTTTTAAAAAGTGCAGTTGCTAACGCGGAAACTAGGTCCGTTTGGTGGCAGCGCTGCTTTCACCCAGAGCACGGCCGGCCAGAAGCGCGCCGTCGACCACAACCTCAGCAAGTTCCACTTCACGCGCGGCATCCTCGGCAAGCCCAGCCTGGAGTAAACGCATCAGTGATTTGGCAAAAAATGGCTTTTTCATAAACAAACACTTTGCTTTCCTTACATACGAGGACCGCTGGTCGATCAGCGTAGCTTTAAGCCGCCGCTACAGCCCAGGCCTACGCCGACGCCGAGGTGTCCGTACCGCGTCGGCGAAAGGCGTGCATATGGCCGACAAAGATTCCACGGCTTTGTAGCGGCGGCATTTCTATTCGCGGTGGGACGGCCTGTTTGGTCGTGATGGATTGCGTCGTTTTCTTCTTTGTAAGAGGACAGTTTTCCTAGTGCAGCAGATAGCAGCTCCACCAATGCCCAGGATGGCTTTAAGGATCTCTGTTGTAGCGATGTCCTTGTGGGGCATGGCTATCCGTTCATGGCTGCGCGGTAACACATCTCACTGTCTTCTGGAGATGGTCGGCTACTTGCCGAGCAGATTACAGTAGTCATGAGACAAGGAATTCATTGCTGGACTGGATTGTTCAGTAAAAGAATTATAAAGAACGTCTTGGTTCGATTGTTTGTTTGCTTCATTTGTGTGTTTAAAAAGATGTTTGTCTGTCTATTGAAAGGATTTCAGCACGAATGTTTAGAGGACACCAACCTTTAGACTTCAGTGTTTGCGCGTCTATGGAGAAGTTGCTTTGACTCCATGGGATGAGAACGACTCATCTGTAGGAATAACTTCTTTCCCATAGATGGGATTAACATCAACTCCTCTCCCCAGAAGAATATTTTCATACGTCTGTACAAGGAGAGTGTCGTAGGCTTGCGACAGCCAGACACCCACCACCCTTTACTCACACGGCGTACCTCAGTGTCACTTAACACGCACGCACGCACTAACATATTAGGGTAACGGCAGGTGGGTATACAAACGCACCTTCCCAAGACGCACCTTCCCAAGACGCACCTTCCCAAGACGCACCTTCCCAAGCAGCACAATTCCCTCCAACCGCAACCAACCAACTTCACCTCCACGCCATCACCTCTTACCACCACAACCACCACAACCACCATAATAATGGCTACGACACGCTCCTTCGAAATCAAACAAACCCCCAAAACAGGCACGGGGATCATAGCCACGGCGCCCATCCCCAGCGGCACGCTCATCCACGCCGAAGCGCCCGCAATCACGATCCCGTACCCGCAGGAAAGCTGGCTCAAGCGCAGCCTAGCCATCATGGGCGCCGCGCAGCGCCTCCCGGCAGAAACCCAAGAACAATTCTTCGCGCTCAACGTTAACGCCGCCACCAGAGCCGCCTGTAAGAATTTGTTCGGGAAGCTGCTCGCGCAGGCGGAGAGCAAGGACCCGGCGCTATGGCAGGAGCTGCAAGCCCTGGAGCCAGATGAGCGCGAGGCCGCTGCCCAGTGCTTCGTCAGCGCGAACGTCGTGTTTGCCGGGAACAGCAAGCCGCTGGGGGCGCTGGGGCAGGGGCACTGGGCCGGGGCCGAGAACGACAGAGTGGGCGACGAGTGGGGCGACCGCGGCGACGCAGACGCCCTCTTCCTGACGGCGGCGCGCTTCAATCACTCGTGCGTCGCGAACGCGCATCTGAGCTGGAACCCCGCGACACGCCGGCTGCACGTGCTCGCGAAGACGGATATTGCCGCCGGCGACGAGGTCTACGTCAGCTACCGCGGGCAGGCGCTGTCGGTGCTGGGGTGCGACCAGCGCCAGTTGGTCCTGGTCAAGAAGTACGGCTTTCTGTGCCTTTGTGCCGAGTGCTGCAAGAAGGGCCCCGAGCTCAAGCGCTCGGATCTCGTGCGTAAGGTTGCGAAGAGCTTGCTTGAGCGGTATGGTGGCGTGCCTGAAACGGGCGTCGAGCGCAGGGCTGCTATTGAGAGCTTGGGTAAGGCTGAGAAGGAGTTGTGGAATGTGGATGTTATGAGCGTGGCGCATGTGTGAGTTGTTTTGCTTTTACTTCTTCGTACGTTACCAATTGACATGCCTTTGCTGACGGCGATCTAGCAAAATGAACCTCAGCAAGCTCTACGTGGCCGAGGGAGATGTGGAAAAAGCCCAGGAATGCTGTCTAGAGGCCTGCCGCATCTTCAAGACGTGCCTGGGCAAGGACAATCCCGTGACGGTGTCGGTCGTCAAGTCGTTGCTGGCCTGTCGTCGGGGACCGTTTATCCGCGAGCTGTTGGTGGCATCGCTGGGATATACGGAGGAGGAGCTTGGGATGGATGAGGTGGGCGATGAGGTGGGTGAGGTGGATGATGAGGCTGTTTGATTCGCGGTGAATGGGCGTTCGTTAGGCGTCGGTTAGGTGCCAGTGAGGGGTATTCTTCTCTTTCTTCTTTCTTCTTTCTTTCCGATACCCAAACTCAGGCCTTTGGGTGCTGGTGTAGACCCATAAGGTAGTATTCTCACAACAGTAACAACAGTAACAACAGTAACAACAATAACAACAGCAACAGCAAAAGCAATAAAAGCACCCATTCACACTACTTTCCTCCTGTTCCAAAATCCCCTCCAAAATAAATCCCACAGTTTCCAGTTTCCAGCTTCCACCACACCACACCACACAACAAAGCACTCCCCACCGGGCACAGTCCTAACGCACTTAACGGTCGGAACCACGCATGCCTCTCTGACTCTCTCCGCCTCAACCATCTCTCATCCGACCAGTCCCCCACAAGACCAGCAGCACGCATGCCTTGATTCAATCGCCCATCCATCGACGACAAAGCCATTATCCAGTGCCCCAAACCCGTCAAGTCCGTGCCTCGAACTCGTCGAGTCCTCAAGTCACATCAGCGAGCAATTAGCTCGCGGCTCTGCAACGCACGGTTACGGAAGTAACCGCACCCGGTGGCCTAAGGCTACTTACAGCGGAGGGGTTGAGTTTGCTCCTCGAAATCTATATACGGCCTAGCTTTAGCCTTTCCGTGGCAGGTGGAATAAGGTATGCTGTCTGTTTTGAGGGCACTTTCTGTAGATTTCCTTTTCTTTTTCCTTTTCGCTAGTTATTCTCTTTGGTTGGATTTGACCATAATGGTAGGACGTCCATGTTTGTATCTACAAGAATACTTTTTGCGCCACTTTCTTTGCTATGTGCGAACTACTGGCCACCACCGTGCACACGCGGTTGAGTAACTATACAAACGCGTCATGGAGGGTGGGTCCACTGTTCTTTAAAGCGGAACATGAATATACAAAACCCAGCTGAGAAGGTCTCTATCATTTTCATTTAGGTAACCTGAAGACGTTTTCTGACCCACTGGGGCTTATGCGTCTTTTGAGTGAAGAACCTTTTTAGACTTGTCATAGGCGGAAAGCTTTCGCATGGTACCCTTCACAAGTAAAGTATTTGGTGCTGATGTCGTTCGCCAGCGTTGTTCGTCCTCGGTGCAGAGGAGTACTATAATCCACTGATAGTAGGTGTCACCACTGTCGTACAATAGTCTGTTAGGTTACACTCAGCCAGCCTATCTACTACTGCGATGATATTCCACATTCTCGGGTGCCTTGTATTGTAATGGCTAGTTCTTTCATCGTTGTTCCTTCCTTGCATTGCAAGACTTGATGCAATGGAAGACATCGACTTGGCCTTGAGGTGGATATGTGAACTAAAGCTCATTCGGGCATATGATTCCAGGAACTCGAGACTGCAGGCTTGACGCCGCGCGGTTTTGTTAGAAGCGGGATAGTGGTGTGGGTGTGTTTAGGAAGAAGTTTCTAGAGACGAAGACTTCTTGTTAAGCAACAGTGGTGGTTGGCCATCGTTACCGCATCAGGAAATGCCTCGGTCCTCGGGCACTAAACATTACCCCAGACGCCCAAGCTCCCCCCTACAACAACAACAACAACAACAACAATGCCCTACGTCTCCTCCTCCACCACCACCACCACCACCTACCCTCTCTCACCATGACCTCCCCCACCACCAACCCCCCAAGAGCCATCCTCTTCGACATTGGCGGCGTAGTCGTGCGTGCCCCCTCCCTCACCACCACATCTCGCCTAACCACCTACCCACGCACGCACCCAACGCGCCTCGCTCGCTAACGCCCCCGGCCCCGCCGCCGCGCACGCAGGTGCAATCCCCCTTCCAAGCGATCCTCGACTACGAGCGCGCGCACGGCATCCCCGCCGGCTGGATCAACACGGCCATATCGCGCGCCGCGCCGGCGGGGGCATGGCAGCGGCTCGAGCGGGGCGAGATGGCGCTGGACGAGGCCTTCTTCGCCGCGTGGGCGAAGGACTTGTCTGATCCGGTTGTGTGGCGGGAGTTTTGGCTGGCGCGGCGGGGGAAAGAACGGAATAACAACCACAACAGCAGCAGCAGCAGCAGCAGCAGCAATCACAACAAGAACGACGCCTCCGTCCCACCACACATCCACACCCCCACCCTCTTCTGGTCCATGATGCGCCTCTCCCGCCACCCGGACCCACACATGTACCCCGCCCTGCGCCGCCTACACGTGCTCGCGCCCTCGCGCGGCCTCGTCCTCGGCGCCCTCTCCAATACCGTCATCTTCCCCGCCGGCGTGCGCGACGAAACCGGCACCCCCTTTGACAGCGGCCTGCGCTTCGAGCGCCACCACCACCACCAACAACAACAAGGCGGGACCGAGTCCGCCGTGCTCGTGCGCGAGGAGAATGCTGCTGAGCGTAGTGAAGCCTCTGAGCATAGCGAACCTTCTGCCAGCAGCACCACCAGCACCGCCCCCCACGACATCCGCGCCCTCCTCCCCGTACAAATCTCGTCCGCGCACAGCGGCCTGCGCAAACCCGACGCGGCCATCTACGCGCTCGCGCTGCGCGCCCTCAACGCCGAGGCGGCGCGGCGCGGCCTCCCGGCCTTAAGCGCGCACGACGTGCTCTTCCTCGACGACATCGGGCAGAACCTGCGGGGCGCGCGGGCGGCGGGCATGCGCACGCTCAAGGTCGAGTTGGGGGGGACGGCGAGGGCGGTGCGGGCGCTGGAGGGGATGCTGGGGGTTAGGTTGGGGGATGAGATGGGGGAGGAGGGGGGGAGGGCGAAGTTGTGAGGGTGTGTGTGTGGGTGGGCGTGCGGTTGTTGGGCGGAGCACAGTAGAGCACAGCAGAAAGCGCGCGCAGCGTATAGGTAGATAAGTAGATACGAACAGTGCGAACCACGACGTGCAGAGCGCAGTAACGATTCCGATTAGAAGAAGCAGAAGCAGAAGGCAAAGCAGAAGGCAAAGCAGAAGAAGGTAGAGCGGGGTTGGCTGGGGGAGAGGAGAGGCCAATAAAGTATAAAACTAAGTAAGTAGGTAGTAACTAAGTAGGTAGTAAATAGTAGTAGTAGGTAGTAAGTAGGTAGTAGTAAGGCAGCCAGACCAGACAGGCCACCCAGCCAGCCAGCTCTGACAGAATGGAAACGGAAACGGAAGAAGCGCCTCTCCGCCCTCCTCCTCACCACAACAACCACCACCACCAACTCCCTCCGTATTTTGGCTCCACAAATAAAAAAAGAGGAGACGATTAAGAACATCGACAATCCAGTACAATGCAATGTACAGAAGAAATCGGCACCCATGCAGGCGGCGCGCACGCTCACCTCTGTTCCCTCCCCCCTTCATCCCCCTTTCTCCTCCTTCCTTCCTTCCTTCTTCCTCATTCATCCCGTGTCGCAGCAGCTGGTGGGTATCGCAACGCGACGCGACGCAAAAGGACCGCTTGCTTCTCAAAAACAAACCACCAACCCAGGTCAACGCTCCCTCCCAAACACATAGGAAAATAACAAAACGAGTTATACGCAGCAGCAGCAGCAGCGATAACGAAATGCCGTAGCGACAGGTCTTTTTTTCTCCCGCCCCATCCTGGCATTCCTCGTTTTTTTCGGAAACCCCGTAATGGGTTGTTTGTTTGTTCGTTCCCGTGAGCGAAGGTGGTTGCCGTTTCCTTTCTGGAGAGAAAAAGCAGCGAGCAGAGAGAGCCTCCGAAAATAAAATAAAAATGTAGACCGGGCCATCGAGTCCTTTTTTTTTTCTTCTTCTTCTGGCCAGTCAGTTGCTCATCGCGTGAAGTTTATTCCCATCCCAAT